TGATCCTTGTGGCACTCCACTAGTTACATCCTGCCAATTCGAGAATGATCCGTTTATCACTACTCTCTGCTTTCTACCCGATAGCCACTCTTCTATCCATGTTAATATTTTCCCATTAATCCCGTGGGCCTTGATCTTGAGTAACAGCCTTTTGTGTGGCACCTTGTCAAATGCCTTCCTAAAATCCAAATATACCACATCTACTGGTTCCCCCTTATCCAACCTGCTGGATACATCCTCAAAAAATTCTAAAAGGTTAGTCAAGCATGACTTCCCTTTTGTAAAGCCATGTTGACTCTGCCTAATCTTTTTATGGTCTTCCAGGTATCCCATAACTACGTCTTTTATTAAGGACTCAAGAATTTTCCCTACAACTGACGTCAAACTAACTGGTCTATAGTTTTCCCTATTTTCTCTCCCACCCTTCTTAAATAGTGGAGTTACGTTTGCAATCTTCCAATCAATGGGAACTTTTCCAGTATCCACAGACTTTTGGAAGATTATAGACATGCCATCCACTATCTCAGTAGCCACCTCCTTTAAAACTCTCGGATGCAGGCCATCCGGTCCAGGGGATTTATCGGTTTTAAGACCCGACAATTTACCTAGAACCATCTCTTTACTAATGTTAATCTCCCTAAGTTGCTCGCTAACATTGTCTTCTTGGTCCTCTATTTTTGGTATGTTTCCAGTGTCTTCTACGGTGAAGACTGTAGAAAAATACTTGTTTAATGACTCTGCCATGTCTTTGTCCCCTATTATAATTCCTCCGGTCTCTGCCTGTAATGGACCCACATTCACCCTCGCTAGCCTTTTCCTCTTTATATATTTGTAAAAACTCTTGGAGTCTGTTTTTATGTTCTTTGCTAGTTTGCCCTCGTAATCTATTTTCTCCCTCTTGATCAATTTTTTGGTCCTCCTCTGTTGTTCCCTAAAGTTCTCCCAATCCTCGGGTTTACTACTCATCTTCGCTGTTTTATAGGCTTTTTCTTTTGATTTGATACTTTCCCTAACTGCTCTAGTTAGCCATGGCTGCACCACCTTTCCCATGGCATTCTTATTCCTCAAAGGAATATGTGCTCGTTGGGAATTTTGCACTATCTCCTTGAATGTCTGCCATTGCTGGTCTACCGTCAAATCTTTAAGTTTAGTCTCCCAGTTTATTCTGGCTAAATCCTCTCTCATACCAGCAAAGTTGGCTCGATTTAAATTGAAGACTTTTGCTTCAGACTTAACTACTTCCCTCTCTAACTTAACGCTAAATTCCATCATATTATGATCGCTTTGCCCGAGAGGAGCCTTAAGTTCCAGTTTGCTGATCAGCCCTGTTTCATTACACAAAACAAGGTCTAATATGGCTTGTTCCCTGGTCGGCTCCTCAGCATATTGAGAAAATTATCTCTAATACATTCTATAAACTCCTCTTCGAAGTTACCTTTCCCAATTTGGTTGTCCCAGTCTATGTGCAGGTTAAAATCACCCACAATTAGTGTCTTTCCTTTGCTACATGCTCCACTAATCACGACAAACAGCCAAGCAACCACCTCCTTCAGGGGTAGATTGACAAAAAAATAACAAAAAAAACAATTCCCCTCCCGGGAATAGCTCGAATAACAACACACCCTGTTATCAGCCGCAAATAGCTCGAATAACAACACACCCTATTATCAGCCGGGGATGGCTCAAATAACAATACACCCTATTATCAGCCGGGGATGGCTCAAATAACAATACACCTGTTCCTCCGACCGGGCACAACTGACCCCATTCACTCGCATGTAAGAAACCACTGGAAATCCTGTCAAGATCCTGCCGACTACGCCAATTTGTTAGGGTATCGGACTCATTTGCAACCGATCCTGCACCCAGAAAATAAGTTCAATCTTGATAAACCAAATGGCGGATTTCAACAATTTATCAAGCATACGAATAATGTCGGTTATACAAAATTAATGCAATATAAAATAACAGAGCAATACTACCAGTCCTTCTGTTCCAAGAACCAAGTCTGCCCTGGAGAGATCTCTAAAGACCACCCCTTAGCCCAAGTTTATATACCTTTTTGTTTCTTTTTGCTTCTTTTTTTGTCTGGTGGGCCCCTACAGCCTTTTTGCACCAGTTTCAGTCTGCCTTACTTGGGCATGTTTTTCACTATTCTGCATGCTTAATCAGAACACTTTCTTATCTAAAACTAACAGAAAGAGGAGGCCAATCAGGGCATACAACTCCTTCTGGTTGTATATAATACATATATACATTCCAACAGGCTAATTAGGAAGAAAACAGAGAGTAGGGATAAACAATTCCTTCTCAGATTGGCAGGATGTGACTAGTGAAGTGCCACAAGGATCAATGCTTGGGCCTCAATTATTTACAGTCTATATCAATGATTTAGATGAGGAAATAGAACTTAACATATCTAAATATGTGGACGACACAAAGTAGGTGGGAGAGTAAGCTGTGAGGATGACACACAAAGAATGCAAAGGGAAATAGACAGGCTGGGTGAGTGGGCAAGAAGGTGGCAGATGGAATATAACATGGGGAATTATGAAGTTATTCACCTGGGTAGTAAAAATAGAAAAACGGATTATTTTCTAGAGGAGGAGAGACTAGATAAAGTTAGTGTTCAGAGGGATTTGGGTGTCCTTGTACACCAGTCACAGAAAGTTAGTATGCAGGTACAGCAAGCTACTAGGAAGGCTAATGCCACGTTAGCGTTCGTTGTAAAAGGGTTAGAGTTCAAGAGTAGGGAAGTCTTATTGCAGTTGTATAAGGTCTTGGTGAGACCGCACCTAGAATATTGTATGCAGTTTTGGTCTTCTTATCTAAGAAGGGACATACACGCCTTAGAGGGGGTGCAGCGTAAATTCACTAGGTTGGCTCCTGGGATAAGGGGGTTTACCTATGAGGATAGGTTGAGTAAACTAGGCCTATATTCTCTAGAATATAGAAGAATTAGAGGTGATCTTATAGATCTTATATGGTTTTATGAGATAATTAACGCCACCAATAAAGATGGATTGAGAACCATTGTCAATTCAGTGAGATTAGATTACAGTTTCAAACTTGTTTCCTGATATTCGTTCGAAGCATTGAAAAAACAAGTTGGATAAGGTAATGCAGAGGAAGCATGTTAGAGGATATAGGGAAAGACCAAAGTATTGAGATTATGATCTACAATACTAAGATTCCTTGCATTTCGTATGGCACCTTATCACGCGATTGAAATGTCTCAAAATATTCATAATATTTTAAAGAAAAGTGCGACGATTGTGTATTTTTGCAGGCGAAAGCGACAGCTAATTTGTGCACAGAATGTATCACAAACAGCTATGAAGAGTAGGAGCAATTTTTATCTGGAGCATTTGTTAACTAGAAGAAGCCCCTTTACGGGATCTTTAACCCCCACCTGAACAGACAGACGGGACCTCAGTTTACCATCTCACCCAAAGGACGGCTTCCTGGAGGAGCAAACAACGATATGGAATAATGGGCCGAATGACTGTATGTGGAACAATTCAATCTGTTTTGGTTGGTTTTGGGACAAGCCTTGATGCCTCTAATTGCAATGAAACAAGAAACTACTGAATTTTACCCAGCAGTTTCCTGTAACTTTACGTTTGAGGAAATTACTTGTTTGATTGGCTCACATACGACGTAATACACTTCACAATCCATTGTATAATGGATACTCAATGTCTGAATATTGACATACTGGAAATTCAGACATTATCGTTCCTGCATCTCTCTCACAGGTTAATAAGTTAAAAATAGCACTGAGGACACGAATGATAACTGCAGAGTATGCAATAAGCAATTTTCCTTGTGTGATAACACGCAAGTAATTAAGACCCTTCTATAAATACATCTGATTCAAAGACGTGCTCTGGAGGCCGGAAGGTATTTCCAAATAACAAATAATAATAATAATAATAATAATCCTTGCATTTGATATAGCGCTTTTCACGTCGGGAGGACGTCCCAAAGCGCTTCACAGAACGCACTGTAAAGTGAATTGACTGTATTTGTGGGCAAACGCGGCCGCCAATTGCGCACAGCAATGTCCCACAAACAGTCGTAGATTGAAAATGACCAATTTAATTATTGTTTTTGTTTTTTTGGAGGGATTATTATTAGGCTCTGTGTGGAGTAAGGAAACTTGCCCAAGGTTTCGCCCTCTGCCTGGAATTGAACTCAGGTCTCTCGCTTGCAAAGCGAGTGGTCTAACCACTGAGCTACAGGACTCCTCAGCCGGAATACCCTCAGCCTTATACCCGGAAAAGCGAGCCACTAATCCACTTAACAAACAGTTTCCTACTTACTGCTGGGTAAACAGAAGCGTGTGCGTGAGTAGGGAAACTTGCCTAACGTTTCGCCCGGTTGGGAATCGAACACAGGTCCTCTCGCCTACCGAGGCGAGCGAGCTAACCGCTTCTCTACAACACAATACAAAATTACATTTGTAGAGGGCCATTCACGTCGGGAGGACCTCCCAAGGCGCTGGACCGTCGGGGATTTGGACCCAAGCCGGGGGTTGGGATCGGGGAGCGGGGAGGAGGGCGGTCGAAGGCTCGGTCGAAGAGAAAAGCTCTCGAGACGTGGCTTGCGAGAGGGAGTCGTCGAGGGAGGGGCGCGAGGCAAAGGGAACGTGGGGTGTGGAGTTCCAAAGGGTGGTGGGGGTGCGGGGGGCAAAGCGGCCGAAGGCACGACCACCGGCGGCACAGGTTGGCGAGAGCCAAGGATTTTTCAGGGCGGCGGGGGGGGGGGGGGTGGGTGCCGCCGGCGGCCCGGAGTGTAGCGTCTTGGGGGAGGGGTGGTGGGGTGGGGTGGTGACAAGCTACAGTCAAGCCAACCGACTGATAAACCAGGTGTAGGTTGGCGAGCCCACGTGACTGTCTGGCTCTGAATTTGTGCCGGCAGACATTTAAAGGGATGGCCCGGCGTCTGAGCGCCTTTAAGAGGGGCGGCCGTTGCCGCCGCCTCGCGGGACGGCTGTCTCGAGCGGAACCGACCGACCGACCGCGCGTGCGCGAGAGTCAGGCCTCGACACCGGGGGCTCCGGTAGGATCCGGTCCCGGGGGCTTTGTGAGGGGGGAGAGGCCCCTCTCTGTGTTATTGGGACCGGTTTTTAGATCCGTGTTTTTCCTCCTTCTTCTTCGTTCGTTCGGTCGTTCCTCCGTTCGTCAGGAATTTCCTCAACGGCAGTTTGTGGCCCCAAATCCACCCAATAAGTAGCCGGAGACCGCCCCCACCCCCACCCGCCCCCCACCGGCCCCCACCGCCCCCCGCCCCCCACCCCACCCGCCACCCACCGGCCCCCCACCGGCCCCCACCCACCCGCCACCCGCCGCCAGAGAGGCCCAGTTTCGGTTTTAGCGCCTCTTGAAACCCGTGTAAGAAAGGGTCTTGAAAGGAGAGACAGAGAGGAGAGAGGGAGAGAGTGAGGGAGAGGATGAGAGAGGGAGAGGATGAGAGAGGGAGAGGATGAGAGTGAGGGAGAAGATGAGAGGGAGAGGATGAGTGAGGGAGAGGATGAGAGAGTGAGAGGATGAGAGAGTGAGAGGATGAGAGTGAGGGAGAGGATGAGAGTGAGAGGATGAGTGAGGGAGAGGATGAGAGAGTGAGAGGATGAGAGAGTGACAGAATGAGAGAGGGAGAGGATGAGAGTGAGGGAGAAGATGAGAGGGAGAGGATGAGTGAGGGAGAGGATGAGAGAGTGACAGAATGAGAGAGGGAGAGGATGAGAGTGAGGGAGAAGATGAGAGGGAGAGGATGAGTGAGGGAGAGGATGAGAGAGTGACAGAATGAGAGAGGGAGAGGATGAGAGTGAGGGAGAAGATGAGAGGGAGAGGATGAGTGAGGGAGAGGATGAGAGAGTGACAGAATGAGAGAGGGAGAGGATGAGAGTGAGGGAGAAGATGAGAGGGAGAGGATGAGTGAGGGAGAGGATGAGAGAGTGAGAGGATGAGAGAGGGAGAGGATGAGAGTGAGGGAGAAGATGAGAGGGAGAGGATGAGTGAGGGAGAGGATGAGAGAGTGAGAGGATGAGAGAGTGACAGAATGAGAGAGGGAGAGGATGAGAGTGAGAGGATGAGTGAGGGAGAGGATGAGAGAGGGAGAGGATGAGGGAGTGAGAGGGAAGGAGAGGTTGAGAGAGGAGGATGAGATGGAGGGAGGGCACGATAGGGAGAGAACGAGAGAGGGAGGGAGCGGATGAGGATGAGACGGAGTGAGAGAGAAAGAAAATCTTTTACAGGTTAAAATGTATATTTCTAATTGGGCCCTCACTCCCCCCAATCTTCGCCCACAAAATACGCAGTCGCTCCCTCGCTCCCCTTTATGGTAATATTCCGTGAAGCCGCCTTGAGACGTTTTAACGACGTGATACGGCGCCATATCAAACGCAAGGATTGTTGTTACCAAAGCTAATAATCTGGCCGCATTGATCTCTTTACCCTTCCCTCTCTCCCTCCTTCCATCCCCACCAACAGAAAATAACATCAATTTACCGTTCAACCTCCCACCTCCGAATCGCACAGAGGACAAAGTCCCGGATCTTTGTCAGTTTGGAGCTTTTTTTTAAAAAAAAAAGAAAAAACACCCCAAACTTACGATTCAAATTTTATTCAAGCCCTGTCCTCGCTCCGAGGTGTGTGTGTGTGTGTTTTTTTAAACCCGCTTCACCGTTTGTCACATTTAAATGATAATGATAATCCTTGCGGGCATCGAGAGGGAGGGACGCGACAAATAATAATAATAATAATAATAATCCTCGCATTCACGTCGGGAGGACGTCCCAAAGCGCTTCACACCACACACTGTAAAGTGAATTGACTGTATATTTGTGGGCGAACGCGGCAGCCAATTGCGCACAGCAATGTCCCACAAACAGCAAACAGTCGTAGACTGAAAATGACCAATTTAATTATTGTTTTTGGTTTTTTGGAGGGATTATTAAAATAAAAAAAAAAGCACATCGTAGCATTTTACTGTGGAGTGGAGTGACGGTGGGATTCACACCCATTCTCTATTTTCAACCCCCCCACCTCGTCAAATCCACTTTTATCTCCCCCCCCCACCCACTGGGTGCAGATGGCATGAACTCTGAATCTCAGTTCTGCTGCTCTATGTTTACTGTGTTAGCACAGCCTTGCTCAGCTGGTGACCAAATCGCCAATTAACTTTGTTTGCTTACGTTACCAAAGGGTCTGCACCCAGAGCCATGGCATCACCCGAACTGTAAATGATGATAATGCTTGGCTGAACAAGCCCTGTAATCCCCAGTAAAACAATCCTGTTTAAATCACACCCTTGCAGGTTTAATAACAGACTCTTCAAGGAAATACCCAGATGTGAAATGCCCCCTTTGCCTGGTGTAGAGCTGGTGCAGACACCTCTTCAGTTATATCGCTATCTCCTTCGGTGCTGCAAGCAACTTCCTGCAAAAAATATGCAGCAACATTACAAGCATGCAATAAGGCAGGTGTGTGTACATCTTTTTGAAGTTAATATGGGAGGGTAAATGTGCAACTTGTTGTTTGAACCAACACAGTTCACTGCAAGCTCACACAATACGCCTGTGTTCATAACAAGACTCGTCTGGGACACCACCAGGAATCAGCTGTATGTCAGGTGTCATCCTGACTCAGTTGGTCACTCTCTCATCTCTTGAGTCAGAAAATGTGGGTTCAGCTGGCAATAGAATTTGCGTCAACCCGTGCAAATTTTGAAAGTAGAACGTGTGGGAGCAGTGTTCCCACAGATCAGAATAATACGTAATAATTTGGCCACTCAATCCATGCTTGTTTATGGGACATTGCTGTGTGCAATTGGCTGCTGCGTTTCACCCAAAATACAGTCAATTCACTTTATAGTATATTCTGTGAAACGTTTTGAGATGTCTCAACCACATGATAAGGCGCTATATCAAATGCAAAGATTATATTTCAGTTGAAACAGTTAAACCCTAACAATAATTATATAATAATTCTTGCATTTGATACAGTGCTTTTCAACTTGAGAGAAAATTCACAAAGTGCTTCACAGGATTTTCTGTATAGTGATTGTGTATTTTGTAGCCACACTCAGCATCTGATTTGGCACAGCAATGCTCGACAAACAGCCATGGGGTGAATGACCAATTTTATCTGGAGGGTTAATGGCCAGACACCAGGAGAAAACTTCCCTCCTCTTTTTCAAATAGGGTGATATTTAACGTCCACCTGAACAGGCAGACCGGATCTCAGTTTAACATCTTAATCCAAAGGACCGTACCTCCAACTATGTAGCACACCCCAGCACTGCACTGGAATATCATCATAGATTGTGAACTCAACGTGGGACTCCAACCCAGAAACTTCTGACTGAGAGGCAAGAGTGCTGCCAACTGAGCCAGGATAACACTTTGGATAGAAAAAGTTAAGCCCTATCTTGGTGAAGTTGCTCTAAGATCTCCAGTGTTAATGGATAAACTCTCAACCCAGAGGTTGACCTAGTTTTGACTGGCCTTCAGATTTTCCTGCACCAAATTTCAAGGCCACTTAATAGACTGCCTGCCTGCCTACCAGCCAGAGAAGGTTAAAAGTGATCAGCATTTCAGGTGTGGCTCCTCATCACATTTGGCCAAAGGGAACTGCTGAAGGAATACACTTTGTTGACAATAAGTTTCTCAGACATTTCTACTTGAGTACACGCCCTCACTTGAGGATACTTGCCTCTTCCTGTATTGGGCTGCTCCTGTGTTTCCCATTACAGTGGGTGGGGGGGGGGTAAATGCTTTCAATGTCTTTAGACGGAACTTGGGACCAGCTCATAGAGACGTGAACTAGGGTTGTGGCACCACCCTTTACCGCCACCACTGTTCAGAAGCTGGGGTGATAATCACACTGGGAGCTTTAAACACCCCCCCCCCCCCCCCACTAAAAAATTGTTCCATTGCCTCTGAACCAGACTGCATGCTGATGCAACTGCCAAGGACTGAATTTTCTTTCCGTGGAGAAGCAGGGATCAGGGTTCCAGGTCACGTCTTCAGGCAAAATGCCTTCCTTTCCAAAAGGGGATTCTTTGAGCGAAAATGTACTTTTAATCCTGGCCTCCCTCCCACCCCCAAAAAAAAATGTTTTGCACACTTTAGAACGGCATGTTCCTTAGGAGGTTTCCATTGAGACATGTCAATAGAACTTGCCACACTAGAATCTTGCCACTTGATTCACAATGGAACTTGAAAAACAGGAAAAGAGAACTTTTGTGATTTCCAGTAAACCGTGGAACTTAAGAGGGACATTCAGCAAGAGAGTTGGATTTCATATTTCATACAATATCGCATCCACCTCAAAATTTCCAAAAAAATGAGGGTTTGATGGCCAATAATAATAATACTTGCATTTGATATAGGACCTTATCATGTCTTCAAGGCTTCTCAAAGCACTTCACAGACTACTGTGAAGTGAATTGACTGCCTTTGTGGGCGAAACACAGCAGCCAATTGCGCACAGTAGTGTCCAACAAACAGTTGTGGATTGAAGTAACCAACAATGAGTGTCGGAAATCTTGTATTGTTTTGCTATTTGAAATTTTGCATTGTTGTAATTGAACGAAAGATGGTCTTTTTACATTGCAGAATTTTAAGGTCCATGCGGATGAAGATAACCCAGAGCGAATTCGACAGATTATCAAAAGGGCAATTGAAGATGCTGACTGGATCCTGAATAAAGTAAGCTTCTGTTGACTTTGGGGTTCCAATTTGTAATTGTTCCAGATAAAATTGATCATTCACTTTATGGGACATTGCTATGTGTTCACCTACAAAATACACAGTCAGTACAATATTAATATTAATAATAACATTGCATTTGATACAGGGCTCTGGGATGTTGCCCCGCGTGAAGGGCTCTATATAAATACAAGTTGTTGTTGCTGTTATCACGTCTTTAAGACATGATCAAATCACCAGTCTCCCATGCATAGGATACACAGTGACTATCCGAAGCACCACCTTAATAGCGCCTACAATCAATGAGATACCTTGGTAGTTCTTGATGTCACTAGGGTCACTGTAGTGGATAGATACCACTAGAACTCTGGAACACTAACAGAACGTGTGTGATTCAGAGAGAATAAACTAGTTTACATTTATCCTTCACATCAGGTGGACGTCCCAATCAAAATCCTGTTGACAGCCTTAAGAGGACACCCGAACAGCTTTGCATTGATCTGTAAAACCCTCGCCATTCTCCACCCTCTCCCTCAGAGCAGCTTTTAAGAACCTCGGCATTAATTTCATCTGCATCTGCTACCATATCCATAACAATGCCTCACAGTTATGGTATTAGATTTACCTTCTATTGTGAAGCTTGAGATGTATTCCCAATACAAAAGGCCTCAAATGTAAGGGTTGTTATAATGTTATTACATTTCCCTTCTATTGTCATTTGATTTTACTCATGGAAACCTAAATCCAATCCATTAATCAGTAGGTAAACAGGAATGAGGCGGGGAGGGAGGCAAAGGAGAATTGAAGACTCTTGGGCAGCTGGGAAGTGGATGAGGAGGAAACTTGTTCCTCACTATTCATGGTAATTTATGACCTAAACCATTATAAGGAAGAACTTGCTTATTTTATTAGTACCTTATCACATTGCGATACCTCAAAGCTCTTAACAACAAAGACAATGCCTGTTTGTTAAGAAATGGGGCAGTTATTTTGATTTTGTGCCAGCGAGTTGTCAAAAATTACCTTAGGGCAAGTCTCCAGACATTATCTCTCTTTGGGAACAACTAATTATCAGTGTTGCTTTCATATTGAAACTCATCTAGTTTTATTTTGATCAGACAGATGTGGAAATCTGTTGTGCTTAAGAGTACACAAACCAGACAGAGTTCCACAGATGCATGTCACAAGCACATGAAATCTTCGCTGTGGCTGGAACGGAAAGTACACTCGTTCCACTAGGAATTCCCCCTATGTAGTTGATTTGCAGTTTGTTGAGAGCCAAGACCCTAGAGTGTGTGCTGCTGGTGATTAACCAGCTTAAACCACACAGTTTGCCACAGCAAGCACTATTTAGCAAGCTTTACACTGCTAGTCCAGCTAGCATGAGTTGTAGGATTAAGGGGAGCTGAGTGGGAACAATTCCTTACAGGTTTGTGCCTTCCCAAGTCCTGCCAACAAACCGGGCTTGGCTGGTCTGTCATCAGCAGTGCCTTGGGAGTACCACAAACCTGCCTGGCTCAGGAACTATTGGAGTCCTGTAGCTCAGTGGTTAGAACGTTCGCCTCGCAAGCGAGAGTCCTGGATTCGATTCCCTGCAGGGCGAAACCTTGGGCAAGTTTCCTTACCCCACACGTCTGATAATAATCCCTAAAGAAAAGAATAATAAATTGATCACTTCAATTCACGACTGTGTGTGACACTGCTGTGCGCAATTGGCTGCCGCGGTTTGCCCACAAATATACAGTCAATTCACTTTACAGTATATTCTGTAGAGCGCTTTGAGACGTCTAGAAGATGTGGTAAGGCGCTATGTCAAATGCAAGGATTATTATTTATATTATATTATTGAGGGTTGACTCAATTCCCACATTACGTTGATATGTATATGAGCTTGGAGCCAGCCTCAAAGAAAACAAGTTTTGGGTTCCTTACTTTGAAAATAAATGAAAATAAAATTAATTTGTAAAATACTTGGTGGTGCTTCAGGGAGAGTGCAGTGTGTTGGCTTGAGTTTTCCCATACTTCTCATCTGAGTCATATCACTGGCAGAGAGAAAACATCATAGAGAAAGAAAGTAGGTTATTGCATTCACCCGGTTTTATATCCTCCTGAAAAACAGGCAGATGGAACAAAGGTTGCATTGGCGGGCGGGCCTTTAGGCTCTCTGCTTCCACCCTCTGGAACTCCATATTACAGTCCCTCTGCCTCGGCCCCTCCCTTCAAGACCCTCCTCATCGACAGTGTCTTCAGTCACCCACCTACCCCTTACCCTCCCTGCCTTCCACCCCACCTGAGCCCAACCACCAGCTTGGGTGCGGATCCATGACTGCCCAGCGCCTTTGGACATCCTCCTGACGTGAAAGGCGCTATACAAATGTAATTTGTTGTTGTTGCATGGCCTACTTGATTTGATGTAGAAGGCTGGCCCGCTGCCATGGGGAGAAAGCAAAAGATCCTCTTGTTTGACAGTCATTGTTCAAACTTTTCATATGTTCTACAGTACAAAGATCTGAAGCAATGAAGCAAGGTCTGAAGTGGTTTAAGGAAGAAGAAATACCAAAAGGACAAATGCTTTGGGCCGGCACCAAAGATACAAGGATCTGCAGCACAGCAGTGATGGCAAAAACATCATCATCTAAAATAGAATATTCTATATCTGAAAGAACATAGTCATATTAAAATATAGACAATTGGATGGTAACATTGGATTGCAGTGAGTGACTTATAAGATGCCGTGTACTACATACGGGTTGATGTTTTTTGGGTCAGCTGGGTGTCAGACATGCGAAAACCAAACGTGACCTGATGTTTAATTTCTGTAAACGTAGTTGCTGGAAAATTCGCCTTCCTCCCTGTGGTCTCTCGCCAATGCTTATTCCTAATATTTGGTGTGTAATTGGTACTTGCAATAGAACCTTTTTTTTTCAATTTTTTTGTGGTGGTCAGTCAGTTGTCTTTTGGGCTGCACCGGTTTCTGAGGCAGTAGAGCTGACTTCATTCACGCATTCAATACGTTGACAATGAGCATTCACACTGACAAGTTAATGATGTAATTAAGAGGTATTATTCTGGAAGATTTGCAACATTGTAAAAGTGCATGTTTCTCAATCACTCAGGTTTGAATTTTCAGCGCCTTGTGCTAACACACAAATACAATACAACATTACATTTGTATAGCGCCTTTTATGTCAGGAGGATGTCCCAAAATCTTGCAACTGATCCCATTAGTGACTTCCTAACACTGGGCAGTTTCTATACTCCACAGAAATAATTGAATGCCAAGGGCTACTTGTAGTAATTAGCTTTTTGGATTCACAATGGCTCTGTATCATACTGCCCGAATCTCTTATTAATACTGTAGTACCAATCCTTGCATTTGTTATAGCACCTTCCACATCGAGAGGACTTCACAAAGAGCTTCACATGATTTATTGTGAAGTGGAGTGACTGTATTTGTCAGTCAACATGGCAACTAATTTGCTCACAGCGATGTCTCACAAACAGCCGTGACAGAATGGCCAATATTTGGAGGATTGTTAGCCAATACACTGGGAGAAACTCTTTGAATAGTGTTGCCTGATCTTTAACATCCACTGAACAGGCAGATGGGGCCTCGGTAAAATGTGTCATCTGCAGGACGGCACTTCCAACAATGCAATGCACCTGCAGCATTATAATAATAATAATAATCCTTGCATTTGATATAGCGCTTTTCACGTCTCTCGACGTCTCAAAGCGCTTAACGGAATAGACTGTAAAGTGAATTGACTGTATATTTGTGGGCGAAACGGGACTGCCAATTGCGCACAGCAATGTCCCACAAACAGTCGAAGATTGAAAATGACCAATTTATTATTGTTTTGTTTTGGAGGGATTATTATTAGGCTCTGTGTGGAGTAAGGAAACTTGCCCAAGGTTTCGCCCTCTGCCTGGAATTGAACTCAGGTCTCTCACTTGCAAAGCGAGTGCTCTAACCACTGAGCTACAGGACTCCACTGCAATGGAGTGTCAGTTTACAACCCAGAATAGCTAGAGCTGGTTAAATCATTACTGACTTTATTTGATACTTGGGGATTAGTGGTATTTAGGGATGTGAAAGACGGGCAGGGATTAAAGATCTGTTAAGATGAAGCATTATAATAATAATAATAATCCTTGCATTTGATATAGCGCTTTTCACGTCTCTCGACGTCTCAAAGCGCTTAACGGAATAGACTGTAAAGTGAATTGACTGTATATTTGTGGGCGAAACGGGACTGCCAATTGCGCACAGCAATGTCCCACAAACAGTCGAAGATTGAAAATGACCAATTTATTATTGTTTTGTTTTGGAGGGATTATTATTAGGCTCTGTGTGGAGTAAGGAAACTTGCCCAAGGTTTCGCCCTCTGCCTGGAATTGAACTCAGGTCTCTCACTTGCAAAGCGAGTGCTCTAACCACTGAGCTACAGGACTCCACTGCAATGGAGTGTCAGTTTACAACCCAGAATAGCTAGAGCTGGTTAAATCATTACTGACTTTATTTGATACTTGGGGATTAGTGGTATTTAGGGATGTGAAAGACGGGCAGGGATTAAAGATCTGTTAAGATGAAATAAACCGGTGGATGGATACTAGTTTTGTTTTCCGATCTTGTGGAGTCCTGTAGTTCAGTGGTTAGAGCACTCACCTCGCAAGCGAAATGACCTGGTTCCATTCCGGGGCAGAGCGAAATGTTGGGCATGTTTCCTTACTTCACGCAGGCATTTACCTAGCAGTAAGCAGGAACCCGGTTGTTAGTCGATGGGCGGATCGCTTTTCCGGGGGTAATGATCCCTTTTAAAAATAATACAAAAAATAATTTTGTCACTCGTAGCCTTGACTGTTTGTGGGACAACACATACAGCAAATTCACTTTGTGATATACCACCACATCCCAACCTTTCCTTGTTTTAAATGCCTGTCTTAAAAGAATTGCCCCCAACCACCCATAAGGATCAAGCAAAATTCTGCGATTAAAACAAATCAATGTATGTTCCAATTATCTGTGCTGTTCCAGTTTATGATCACTCAACAATGGCTAAATAAAGCCTCCATTTCTTTGCATTGTTTGTCTGTCTGTATTGTTCAACGATCTCCATGTCAATATGTGATACTACATTACAGCGATAGTGAAAGTGACAACATAAATTGAATTCAAGATCCTCATCCTCACCTACAAGGCCATTCACGGCCTCGCTCCCTCCTACCTCTCCGACCTATATCCCCCTACCTACCTGCCCATACCCTCCGTTCCTCTGGCTCCACATCCCCTGCCCCAACCGCCCTACCATTGGTGGCCGGGCCTTCAGTCTCTCAGCCCCGAGGCTCTGGAACTCCATCCCCCAGTGCCTTCGCCGCCTCCTCCCTTTCCTCCTTCAAGGCCGGTCTCAAGACCTTTCTCTTTGACCGTGCCTTCAGCTCCCCTCTCGACTCTCTACCCCCTCCTCGTTCCCTCCCTTCCCTTCCCTCCCCTCACCCTGACCATTTCCCCCCTGCTCGGGTCCTGACCCAACTGTCCAGCGCTTTGGGACGTCCTCCCGACATGAAAGGCGCTCTATAAATGGAATCTTCTTCTTCTTGTAAATTCCTTGTTTGCTTTCCAAATTTTTTTTTGTAATTCCCCTTCACAATCCCGATTCATGATGTGGTTGCAAAAAACATGCCATGCATTCTGAATGGAAGTTTTCATTCACATCACTGAGAAATATGGAAGGTCGAACAAGTTCACACTTGAGCCTAAATGAAATGAGTGTTTTGCTGAAAATAGGAGGATAATTGACACTCCCAACTGGAGTGCAGTTCTGTACTTTAAGATTGACAGAACTCAAAGTTGAAAAGATACCATCCTCTTATCTTTTTGGTCATACACATGCTGAAACCATCAACAGCAACAACTTGCATTTATATAGCGCCCCTCACACTGGGTAACGTCTCAGAGCGCTTGAAAGTGGCGGAGTATAACGCCTAGCTGGCATGGAGGGCGGTGACCATAGGCATGGTCGAATAGGAAGGTCTTCAGGCTCGATCTGAAGATGAGGAAGGAAGGGGCAAGGCGGAGAGATAGAGGAAGAGTGTTCCAGAGTTTTGTGGCGTAATGGCTGAAAGCGCAGCCACCAATGGTGGAACGGAGGGCACAAGGAACATGCAGAAGGCTGGAGCCAGTCGAGCAGAGGCAGTGGGTTGTGGGTTAGGGGGTAAGCAGGTTGGGGAGGTTGGGAGGTACCATGGCATGAAGGGATTTTAAAACGAGTTTGAGGATCTTGAAACCGATCCACTGGGTGATAGGGAGCCAGTGAAGCCTGGCTGAAACTGGTGTGATGGGGGTATGGTGTTTAATAGAGGTGAGTATGCGGGCGGGGGAGTTTAATATGGGTGAGTATGCAGGCGGCGGAGTTTTGGATCAGCTGGATCCCCTGCATAGTGGAGCTGGGGACATTGGCAAAGAGGGCATTTGAGAAGTTGAGTCACTGAGCTAAACAATATTCAAACCAGACTGAGTGCTATGTATATCGCTTAACACATGGAAATCCTCAGGTCTGGAAGAGAATTTGCATTCACTTTGGAGTGACATTTCAAGCTTGCCTAATTCTGGCAAATGTTAACCCATAGGTGTGAAAATAAACTCGGCAAACTTGGCTTCCAAACAAGCCACTGCCTTCTTCTGCCACTTCATTTCCATGAATCATTAGTAGAACAGGCGAGCTCTGAGGCAATGTATCCTGACTTGTATTTTTATTTCAGTCACAAAACAAGACAATTTACAGCTGAGTCAATACAAATTTTATAGGAACTAGGCTTTGCCAGAAATGATTCAGAGATATGCATGTTGTCATCACAAAACAATGACAACTTGTATTTCTGTAACATCCTTCACATTGGATAACATCTTGGGAGTGCTTCCCAAGGGTGAAGTCAGACACCAAGTTGGGAGGGATGAAGGGAAAAGTTTAGGTTTACAGGAAGAAGGTGGAGGGGGGGGGGGGACATGATTGAGGGGTAAAGGGAGGGAAGAATTTTCAGAGGTCAAGGTCGTGTTTATCCACAAACACATAATAATAATATAATAGTAATAATAATCTTTGCATTTGATATAGCGCTTTTCATGTCTTCTCGACGTCTCAAAGCGCTTCACAGAATAGACTGTAAAGTGAATTGACCGTATATTTGTGGGTGAAGTGCAGCTGCCAATTGCGCACAGCAGTGTCCCACAAACAGTCGTGGATTGAAAATGACCGATTTATTACTGTTTTGTTTTGGAGGGATTATTATTAGGTGTGTGGAGTAAGGAAACTTGTCCAAGGTTTTGCCCTGCCTGGAGTTGAACCCAAATGTCTCGCTTACAAGACGAGTGCTCTAACCACTGAGTTACAGGACTCCAATCACTGTAATAAACACTATACTTCACAGAAAAATCCTGTAAAACACTTTGAGACACCTTCCTGAAGTGAAAGGCACTCTACCAAAGGCAAGGATTATTATTATTATAGTTACTGAAATCTTGGTAGCTGAGCAGAGAAGGCGGGTGGGGGGGGGGGGGGGGGGGGAGAGAGGATCATACAAAGTTCTAAACTCTATAGCTACAAAACTAAATTCACACAAAAGATGTAGGCACCCTGGGGTTTTCAGTGCATGTTATATATTTTTACTGATATTAAATTTCGCAATTGTAACATACCCAGCTGAATAAGAGGGCACATGTTCATATCTATAATTGGCGAGCAGTGACTCAAATGGAATAGGTTTACAGTTGCATCACAATGCATTCCTCCAGAAGGTTGGGAGACAAGAAGCCAGTTGAGCCCGGGGTAAATGGGCGTA